CTGACAAGGTTGAGGGAGTTGTCATACTTCTCATGGTTCACACCCATCAGACATGGGGCATCACCAAAAGGGGCAGAGATGATGACCCTCTTGGCCCCAGCCTTCTCCATGGTGGTGAAAACCCCAGTGGACTCCACAACATACTCAGCACTAGCATCACCCTATTCGATACTGGCAGGGTCTTGCTCTTGGAAGATGGAGATGGGCTTTCCATTCATGACAAGTTTCCTATTCTCAGCTTTGACTGTCCCAGGGAATTTGCCATGGTGGAATCATACTGGAACATGTAGACCGTGTAGTTGAGGTCAGTGAAAGGGTCATTAATGACAATGACCAGAGTGAAAAGCAGCCCTGGTGACCATGCACCCAATATGGCCAAATCTGTTTACTCCAACCTTCACCATCCTGTCTTGGGGATGTGGCTGACACTGTATCAGAAGATGCTAGTGTCTGTTGAATGGAGAGAAGCAGAGAGTCTCTTTTGCTCATTAAAATTTTTTTTTAACATTTATTCATTTTTGAGAGAGAGAGAGAGAGAGAGAGAGAGAGAGAGAGAGAACGGGGGAGGGGCAGAGAGTGAGGGAGAACGGGATCTGAAGCAAGCTCCAGGCTCTGAGCTGTCAGCAAAGGGCTTGAACTCACTAACCGTGAGATCATGACCTGAGCCAAAGTTGGACGCTTAACCAACTGAGCCATCAAGGTGCACCATTCTTTTTTTTTTAAATGTTTTATTTCTGAGCGAGTGAGAGAGAGAGCATGAGCAGGGGAGGGTCAGAGAGAGGGAGACACAGAATCTGAAGCAGGCTCCAGGCTCTGAGCTAGCTGTCAGCACAGAGCCCAATGTAAGGCTCGAACCCACAAACCATGAGATCGTGAGCTGAGCCGAAGTTGGACGCTTAACTGAATGAACCACCCAGGAGCCCCATCAAGGTGCAAAATCTTTTTGCTCATTTTAAAACTTGGGGTTTTTGTTTCTTATTTTTGAGTTTTAAGAGTTCTTTATCTATTTCAGATACAAATGCTTTGTCATAAATGTGATTTCCAGATATTTTCTCCCAGACTATGGCTCAACTTTTCTCTTTGATGACTGTTTTTCAGAGTAAAAGTTTAAAAATTTTGATGAAGTTCAATTTAGCAGTCTTTTCCTTTTATGAATTGTTTCTGGGGTAGCATCTGAGAAACCATTTCTGACACAAAGATTTCCACCTGCATTTTCTTCTCAGTATCATTTATTTTAAATCGGTTTTCTGTATAGTCCTATCAATTCTAAACTACAAAGAAGGTATTTGATGAAAACATTGCCAAATACCAGTTCTCTCCATAGCACAACATTCCCTGTTAAAATATCACTTTTACTTTGAAGGGGGCAGATTTAGTGAATTTGTTCTTTGGAAAATATTGCAGAGTACCATACTACTGTCAGCCACTTTTTACTACAAAGGCCAGTTGGGAATGCTCATCTTTTTGCAAAAGAAAAATGTATAACTTTCTTTACATTTTTAAGTACTTTGATGTAAGCGCGAACCTCTCTGTAGTGCTCTATCATATTAACATAAAAAAAAACCACAAGGGTCCTACTGTTTAAATACCATGTTTTTACAAGATTAGTCTCATTATTGTCATCCTGTTTCACAGAAAAATAGTATTCACGATATTCTAAAAGCCCAGGCTGAAGGGTCCCATTGTTAGTGGCACACACACATTTAGTGAGAGCCCCACACTGTGCTCCTTGTAGATTCCTGTACACACATGGCACATACTAGCCCAGGGAGGATCCCTGTGGCAATCTCTGTGACTGTTTAGTGAAACTTTTTCTTTAAGAGATAAATATAGTTTAAAAATTTAGTGTTTCTTCCCTACCCTGATTGTCTTGTGTACATTCCTGGAACACCACTACCCTGGAAAGTCTTACAATGCTGCCCCTCTCTCTGCATTCCTAACTACCTGGATATAGTAGATAATCTGTACTCTTTTAGAAATAAATGCCTTGTCCGGTTATAAATGGTAGAGCTGCGTTGCCCTGTCATCATTTTCCTGTCTGCTTTCCTCTAGTGTTTGTTTTCCCCATAGCCTCATTTTTCTAAGTACTGAACTTGAAGTTCATAACAAGTGTTTCTTAGAGGATGACACTCCCTATTATCCATAACGTAGAACCGTGGAATCATAAAACAGTATAATTTTGGTGTTGGAAGGGGACTTGGAGGTGGACTAGTCCAAATCCCTTATCAAAATCAAACCAAGTATAAAGGAATTTGGTAAATCCATAGAATGGAATAACTCAGCAATAAAAAGGAATGAGCTTTTGATAAAATTCAACATGGATCAATCTTAAAAGAATTATGCTGCATGAGAGAAGCCAGACATAAATACCCTACATATGGTGTGATTTCATTTATAAGAAATCAGAAAATAGAAACTGTAGTGACCACAGTGACTGCCTGCAAGTGAGTGGAGAAAGGGGTGAGGAGGGGAGGGAAAGGCTATATAAGATGAAGAAGGACGAGAGGAAACTTTTGGGTGTGAAAGATAGTCCATAATCTTGATTGTGGTGATGTTTTCACAGGTAGATACAAATAGTACATATTAAATATGTACAGTTTAGGGGCACCTGGGTGGCTCAGTCAGTTAAGCGTACGACTTCAGCTCAGGTCAAGATCTCACAGATCGTGAGTTTGAGCCCCCCCTTGGGCTCTGTGCTGACAGCTCAGAGCCTGGAGCCTGTTTTCAGATTCTGTGACTCCCTCTCTCTCTCTCTAAACTATAAAAAATAAACTATAAAATTTTTTTAAAAAATTAAAATTAAAAAAATAAATTAATGTTTATTTTTGAGATAGAGCATGAGTTGGGGAGGGGCAGAGAGAGAAGGAGACACAGAATCTGAAAACTGGCTCCAGCCTCTGAGCTGGCTATCAGCACAGAGCCTGACGTGGGTCTCGAACCCACGAACCGTGAGATCGTGATCTGAGCTGAAATTGGATGCCTAACCGACTGAGCCATCCAGGCGCCCCAAATAAACATTAATTAAAAAAAATAAAATAAATATGCACAGTTTATTGTGTTAGTTATATATCAATAAAGCCATTTAAAGAAAAAAGGGAAACAGAGGCAATTTACCTGTGGGATAAATAAAAAAAAAAAAGCCTACAGTATGTCAGATTCATGTGCTATATGCTGAGGTTCAGAGAGAGAGAGAGAGAGAGTGTGTGTGAAGAAGACATGGCCTGTACCTTCAGGCAGGTCACAATCTAGTGAGGGAGTTAGAAAATGAACAGACAAATTAGATCCAATATGTTAAGTGCTAAAAAAGAACAGACCAGGAATAAGAGGTGTCCAGAACATGGGTGCCAACACATGCCTCTTCCAGGGGAGGTCAGGGAAAGCCTTACAAAAGAGAGGAAGCTGAGCCCAGGCCTAGCACTGGTCAGGTGGTAGAGCCTCCCCATCCAAAGGAGTATCTTGGGTAAAGTTGGTGAAACACAAGATTCCAGGAACCACACATGGTTTGGCCTGACTAGAGCAAAGGACACTCTAGCAAGAGAAGAGACTGCAGAGGTTGGTGGGGCCAGATCGTGAGCTTTTGCTATCCTGGCAGTGCTTGGGTGCCTAGTGCTCCGAGGTTGAACTAACAGGTTGTGCAAATCCATAGTCTGTGCCACAGGGACATGTCTCTTCCAAACACGTCGTGCAGACCTCCAGGTTTCAAGGCCGGGACACTCATATTCATGCTCATTTCCAGTCAGGAAGCTTTTATGTTCCTCAGGAATGTTTCAGACCCAAAGGCAAGAGCTGGTTTGGGTCTGAGCAGCAGCTGAGGAGCATCGGCTTGCTTCTTGGAGCTACACCTGGGAGCAAAGGCCTCTGGTGCATTTTTCTGCTGGGCAACCCATAATCCAGCTGCCCCAAAGGCAGTTTTTCCACAAGTCAAAAATTTTGCCTTTCTTTCTGGCTGGCAGCACTGATCCCTAAAGTCCTGCATTTCTGACAGTGGCTGTCTGGTGAGCAGTGATCTGTGTCCTGTCTGGTTCTCTCCCACCCTCTGGTCATCTGTTAACCAGTCACGGCTGGATTTCTCCAGCTACTGAGTAGTAGAGGTCATGACAGGGTCCCTTATTTGTTTGTTTGTTTTTAGACTGGTTTTCAGAGAAGTCTGGGATGTTTGGTTCAGAGTACGATTGTCAGACCACATTAAAAATGCAGGCAGCAATGCAGAACACGGATGGCTCATGTCAGCCAGACTTTGCAGCGTAACCAGAGGAGCAAAACACGGATAGGGCCTGTGTTAATGGAAGTAGATGCCAAATGGCATGGCAAGTTCTGGCTCATGTTTCTTCTGTTCCCCGCCACCCTTCAGTCGGAAGAAGGCAGCTCCTATTTAAGCTAGAATTTAAAATGGGATTGCTGCTTGTTGAGCATTCCTGTGATCTAGAGCTCAAATTGCTTACACCTCAGAAGTAATTTAGGAGGATTGTAATTGTCACGGCAGTAAGGATCTCCAAGAAGTGAGGAGTGTGGGTTTAGTGGTTTATTCTTACTTGCCTTGGGGATTCTTTGCTCTCTTCTGCAGGGCTAGACCAAGAGGGTAAGCAGAAGTGCTCACACTGATTTCCCTAGCCAACTCGGAGGAAAGCTGTGGCCAGCACAGATGCCTGAAATCAAGTGGGTCCAAGAAACGCCAAAGCGGATTATCTCAGGTGTATTAATAAACGGATAGTGTCAGGAAGGAAGAAGTTTTCAGTTCTGTTGTGGAGTTTGGTTTTTGTATCTTCTCACCTGGGCTGTGAAAACAGCCCAAGTGTGGGCTGGCCCAAACTCTTAGCTCTGTTTATTCTGCCCTCTTGCCCTCCCCCATGCTGTCTGCCAGCTGGACTATTAAATGGCTCAGTGCTCTTTTTTTGCTGTGTCAATCCTGGAAGGTCATGACTGTTGTGATTTGGGGCTGGTTTCTCAAATGGGTGGGTGAAATGGATATCTAACTATCGATTTGTTTTCTTGCATTTCAGTCGTTCCAAGGAAGTCAAGGACGAGCATACCTCTTTAACTCAGTGTGAGTGTCTCTGAATGGTACATCCATTGTTTGGTGCAGATTTTGCAGGGTAGGGGAAAAGCAGCCCTCAGTGATAATTCAACAATGGACCCTGCCCTTTCTGCCACAGTAAAAGCCCAATGGAACATTACTGTCCACAATTGGAAGCCAGTTATCTTTGTGGATTTTTTTTTTTTGGCAGCATCTTTGGCTAAAAAGTATACATTTACTACCCTTAGTAAGCACATCGGAGGATCAGAGGGCTATAGTCTCACAGAGAAGAAGTTGAAGTGATTCTGAGAGCCTCATCATGGAGGGATACGATGAGTCACTGGGGAAGAGGGGAGGTCGAACAACAGACACCAGTGTCAGCTCAGGAGCTCAGGAAAGCAGAGGAAAGGCCTGGGAGTGAAGAGTCTCCCCGACTGCACCCTGTAGGGCCCCCCATCATTGCTAAGCACATCATTCGTACCCTTTTACTTGGGAAAGGAAGGCCAAAGCTCACACAAGCGTGATGAACTGTGAGAATGGAAATCTAGCATGTTCAGCTTGAGATAATATGGGGCTCGTTCATCCGTGTAATCGGGACAAAACTGTGCTGATGTCACGTTTGCCATCTTCGGCTGCATCCAGTCCTCAGTAAGCTCTGAGCTGAGGACCTGTGCTCAGGAATGTGGTCTTCACAATGTGGCCATCTGTTTGTCCCCTTGGGTCACAAGATTAGAAGCATTAGTTAGAAACATTCCAGGCGAAGTCTCAACCATGAAGACTATTTTTCATACACTCACTGAATCAGAACCTGCAGATCTCAAAATCATTTCAATGGTGACGTTTCACTTTTCGGGGTTGTTACCACTCTGTCATAAATGGTCCCCGTCTCGGTGTTGGCTTCCCTTGAGGCATCTGTGCTCAGTTATTTATTTTTGCTGCAAGCTCAGCTTGAGCGACTGATGATGAATGTGTGACTAACTACCCGTTTTCTCTGTCCCTTGGCACAGAGTTAATGTGGGCTGCGGGCCTGCAGAAGAGCGAGTGTTGCTCACAGGACTGCATGCAGTCGCAGACATTTACTGTGAAAACTGCAAAACCACTCTGGGCTGGAAATATGTAAGTACTGAGGAGTCTGGTTGGCGGTGAATGAAAGAACAAGAGAGCTTCATGCTTGAAGATTGATTTCTTCCACTGTCTTCCTATGGTCTTGTGGGATTATCTTAGTCCAGGACAGGAAACTGGACCCAACGAGCATCTCCTGGCACACTCTCGTCTACCACACTCATTCTTCTCTTTTCTCTGATAGTCCCCTTCTCCTACTCATTCCTTCACACCTGCCCCTGAGACAGACAGACAGATGTGCATGCGCGCGCGCGCACACACACACACACACACACCTGCTTTTCAATTTAATTAATAATAATAGCAGCACATACCATTTCCTGACAGCTTACTGTGCTGCAGGCATACATTATTTTGTTTATATTCACAGCATCCCTAGAAGGTAGTTCATATTTTAATCCCTATTTTATGGATGAGGAAACTGAGGCTTAGAGAGGTTTGTGGTATATCCAATGTTACCTAGCCATTACATGGCCAAACCAGGATATAGATGTTCAGGAGTCTCACTGTGGAGCCCATGCCCTTTGCTCCAGTAAATGTCCCCAGAACATCTCTCACATGCTAGGCTCTATGCTAGGTATCATCAAACATGTTAATTAATGTCCATTGTCAAATATAGTCATGGCTAGACCCTCCCTACTAGACATTCATTCCTTTCCTGTTTAACTCAACTAGTATTTTTTTTAAATGTTTATTTATTTTTGAGAGAGAGAGAGCACAAGTAGGGGAGGGGCATGTATGGGGTGGGGAGGACAGAGGATCTGAAGCAGGCTCTGAGCTGACAGCAGTGCACCCAATATGGGGCTCGAACTCACGAACCATGAGATCTTGATCTGAGCTGAAATCAGATGATGCTCAACTGACTGAGCCACCCAGGCACCCCCAGATTCCATCTTTCATATCTCCCTTGACATGTTCAGAATTAGGAAGAAAGATCCTAGATAGCGTGTTTCATGATGGCACAATGGTCACAGATCCCTACAGTTGCCTTGATTGCTCCTTGTGGCTTGTGGGAAAAACTGGCCTTGGCTATTCTGTTCCCCCTGCATGGCCACTGGCCCCCTCTGGGTGATCTGGGGGCCACAGTTCTGGTTTTGATCCAGATATATTCTGCCCTTCTGTTTTCCCAATCTTTTGGTCATCTTACTCCATTAAAGATATGCAGAATTACAGACAGAAGATAAATCTGAATGAGTTTTTTGCTCTTTACTTTATGTAAAATTATTCACACCTTTGACAAAGGTTTATTAAAAGCCTTTGTGTTGTATACAAAAGTAAATGCGATCTAATCCTTGCCCTCAGGGGTGTTTATAGTCATCATATTAGAGAGGAAAGCTACGGGTAAACAGATAAAACAGCTTGACAGGTATAGTGATATCCATAGGATGAGATAGAGAAACATCCATCTCCCCAAATATTTATTATCTCTCATGTCCCAGGCCAGTGATCCAAGGTTTCATTCCATTGTTTCTTTTCACCCTCACAGTAATCCTGTGAAGTACTTTCACTTATCCCACTTTTATAAATGGAAAGTTCACAGCCATAAACAAAGATGGTTAAGTGATGCTTCTGGTGCCAGGAAGCAGAAATGGGGTTCTGCCTGGAGGTTTCTGTAGACTTCAGATCTAGTGCTCTGTCCCCTGGAGTCCATTTAGGACATTCTGCAAGTGCCCTGTGGATGGGGGCTATTAAAAAAATTTTTTTGTCCTTTTTCGTTGTTGTTCAGTAGAGATATATTCTTACTTTCCTAGTTTTCTTTTTACCTTCCCCCATCCCCGAACACGCTACCATGGTCTTATTCTCGAACCACATTCCTCTGTTGTGTATACATCACACAACACGCACACGCACACACACACACACACACACACACACACAGAGTTGAGGCATAATGAAGTGTCAGGGAAATTACTGCTGACCCCACAGCTCTTGCATGTGTGTGATGTGTTTGCACATTCTCTCTCAGGGCCTCTCCCCTCTCGACTTTGTGGAATGATTCGTCTCTCAACAAGAGACTCAAGTCTGAGCTCTCATTCTGAGATGCAAATCCCCAGAGGTCTAGGACAGAAGATACACTTCATACACATGCCGCCCAGAACCTGTGGGCACTAGGGTTTAGCTACTTATTAATTTGGAAGACTCAGAACTGCAGCGGATATCCACTGCTTCTGCTCACCAAGCTTACCCATAATGACCATGATGACCAGTGTTTTTCAGATAATACATTGAGTTTTTATTCATGTATGCCTATGAATGAAATATCCCTTTGAACCTATACCTATGCAGGGCTTTTTTTTCCCCCCTCCCCACTGTGGGACTTACTAGCCTGAGAGCCCACCCACAGCGCTGTAAATTTAGGATAGTGATTGGCCCAGGTGGTTTATATTGAGTTTTTCTTCCAGAAGCCTGGCAGCTGGGTGGGGCTTGAGGGCTGCTGGTTCTTCAGCCTCCAGTTCATGTGGCTCCTTTATCCCCAGAGAAGGGCAGTGAAGGAAAAACAGACTTAACACACCTCACATAGAAACAGCAAGATAAATAAATAAGAGACCTATATGGCCTCACCATACTTTGGTCTCTCCCTGAGTGTCTTTTCTCTAAGTGTAACAAAATAATTGAGAATTAAAACACGCAGACTTTATAGATGCATCATCCTTAGAGCAGATTTCTGGTTAGCATCTGAAACCAAGTTCCCCTAAGATTTTATACACACACACACACACACACACACTCACACACACTCACACTCACACACTCCACAGTTACTTACTGGAAGACCTATTATATGGCAAGAAGTCTTCTAGACCAAGGGACACAGCTTTGAACAAAATAAATGAAAATCTCTACTCTCAATGAAATTTTTTTTGTGGTAGTGGAAGATAATATGTAAAATAGACATGGAGGTTATACTGTATGTTTTTGAGAATGATAAGTGCTGTGGAGAAAAGTGAAACAGGAAGAGAGGGGAAAGAGTTCTGGGGTGGAAGTTGTGCTTTTAAAGGACGAAAGATTTACTAAGGAAAGACTATACTAAGATGGTAACATTTGGAGGACACCTAGGTGGCTCAGTCGGTTAAGCATCTGACTTTGCCTCAGGTCATGATCTCACAGTCCGTGGGTTCGAGCCCCACATCGGGCTCTGTGCTGACAGCTCAGAGCCTGGAGCCTGCTTCAGATTCTGTGTCTCCCTCTCTCTCTGCTCCTCCCTTGCTCGCTCTCTGTCTCTGTCACTCAAAATAAAATAAAGACATAAATAAGATGGTGACATTTGGGCAAAGACTTTTTTTTAAGTTATTTATTTTGAGAGAGAGTATAAGCAGGGAAGGGGCAGAGAGATAATCCCAAGCAGCCTTCTCACTGTCAATGTGGAGCGCAACGCAGGACTTGATCTCATGACCTGAGCCAAGATCAGAAGTCAAGTAACCGATTGAGCCACCCAGGCACCCCTGGGCAAAGACTTAAATGAACAAAGATCTTGAAGAAATTCTATGGTAAATATTGAGAAAATATTTATAACATTTAAATTGCAAAACATTAAACTGTTGTAAATGTTGAGAAGGTCGTGGTGCCGCCTCGGAGCCGTATTAAGTGAAGGGGACCTGGCATGTTTGTGTGGTGGGTATTTTCTCAGTGAGTCGGGATGAAGCTGTTCCTGATCCCTGTCATTGGCCTGCCTTTGCTCAAAAAATAAAATAAAATAAAAGGTTACCTACTTGTTTTCTTCATTTGGTATCTTTTCCTTTGTGTCTCCTAGGAACATGCCTTTGAAAGCAGCCAGAAATATAAAGAAGGCAAATACATCATTGAGCTAGCACACATGATCAAGGACAATGGCTGGGACTGATCAGAGGGTATCTGCCTACCCCAGTGTCCACGTGAACGCCATCCAACCGAACATTCTACCCAAGCGTGAGAGAGTGACTGAACACTTGGTTCCATCCATTTAGGGGCCTTGCCATCTGGGGCATTCTCCCACCCTGCCGCCGTCTTTCTGGTGACCGGCCTCTAAATCGCTGTCTCTCTGTCTCTTTGCTTTGTATCTGTTTGTGAGTTGATCCTGGCTTCTCTCTCTGTTCTAGTGTTGGCTGAAAACAAAACAACGAAAGGAACAGATGCCTGACCGCATGGCGGCAGCCCACCTTGATAAGGGCCCCGGGGCCCATTAAGAGCTGCCTGATGGCCTCTTGTCAGGAGAGCAGTGGCACAGCACAGGGGTACAAGGAAGAAGGAAATGGGGAGCCTTGAGGGTCCCAGGGCTGGTCAGGGGACGGGATGTTAGAGGGAGGAACAAAATTGTGCTGCTCCTGGAGTCCTGGTAACTTAGGCTTGAAATAATCGACTTGTCTAAAAGGACAAAGAAAAAAAATACCTCATAGACTGCATTCTCTCTGATCAGAAGCTTCTGTTCCTGACACCAGCTGTGTCCAGTTAGCATTGGAGCACAAGAACGGGCCCTAACTAGTGGGGCAGGGGCCTGGTCCTCCTGGGTCCAGTTAGGGGTGTCCTGGCAGCAGAGAGTGTGAAGCCCAGATGGTTTTGATAAGCTCTGATGCCTCACTGCCCCTTCAGGTAATCTTTGCCTCTTCAGCCACTGTTGGTGAGAGGAGGGGAGACTGCCTTTTGCAATGGGTGCAAGATCCAAACATCCCAAAGGCTTTGACCGCCAACAAAGTTAAAAATCAGTAATTGAGGAGAACAGGGAACAAAGGGGGCTGCCATTTGGGAGCTTCTGCAGAAATGGCTCAGATATTATTGGCCAGGAAAAAAAAAAAAAAATAGAACCAGCTAGCGGTTCTGACTGTCTGACCTTTTCCCCCCTGACCCCTAATAAGAAAAGAGCATTGTGGCAAGGAAGTGGGTGGGGTGGGGCAATAGTTTAGATTTGAGCCATTACAGGTTAGTGTATCTTTCCCCTTTGGTATGCAATGGCTTCAGTGAGATCAGCAGTTCTTTGTAGATAGAGTTTTGATTGTTTTTCTCCAGTTCTATCATTGTAGATTGTGGAAAACAAAGTCCTAAGGCTTTGAGCTTAGTGATAACTGGGCCAGTAGATTGCTTATGCCCCTAGCTGTTCTCCTTGGACTTGAATGCTTTGTGTGGAGAGAAATTGTCAGAGTGGTCCAGCAGTGGGGAGGGCTTAGGTATGATGTCAAACATCAAGTAACAAATTCCGATATTAGCCCCTGCCTCTCATCTCCCAAACCAAAGTTCATTATATTAGGGAAGCAGGGAACAAATCCCTAGAAGGCTCATGAGAGAAAGGAGTTTGTTACAATTAACCAACACTGTGAAGTGTGTTCTACAACACTTCAGTCAGTACACGGTGCATGACCGAAACTCATTGAACTGAGTTACTTTTATTGCTTAGACTGAAAATGTAATTATTGTTAAGATATGTGCAGCTTATGTTAGATAATTCTCAGCATCTCATTCTCGAAAGTAGGCTGCTCCTATAGGAAGAATTCACCTTAAACGTCACAAAAGAATGAGTTCATAGAGGCAAGAATCTGTAAAGTTGAATAATCAAGATTCAAGCAGCCAATCCAGGACATTTCCAGAATTCGAACAATTTCCCCTAGGGAGTGAGTCCATGGTGGAAATGCTTTTTCATGTCTCTGGGTGCAGAAGGGGGAGCTGAGGTGGGCATGGTCCTGCCCTGGAGGTGGTGGACAGCAGGACTGACAGGAAGCCAAGTGGCTCCAGGCTTAGCAGCAGACTGCCTCTGTAAAAGGATTCTTAGAAACTGAGTCTTGTTCCCAAAGGCTTTTTGTCCACATCTTCCAGTGCTTTAGTATCCCGGGGAGGTTACGTTCTCCTCACGTTACTAAAAAGCAGACTGAGGTTCGGAAGGAGTATTTCATCTCCGCTCCCAGAGAAGAAGGTCTCCTGGCTCCCAGGGCCAAGATCTCAATAAAAAGCATTTTCAACTTTCACATTCCTAAGCTGGCTTGCCAGCGCAAAAATTATAGATTCCCTCTTTCTCCCTTGAAGGTCGTGGCCTTCATTTATGGATTTTGATTAGCCCCTTTGCTCAGGGAATGTCCTGACTATTGATACTCCTTTCCATAGAAAGAAAATGGGGTTAAACATGGGTACGTGTTTTGTCTATGAAACTAAAAATGGAGTGTGGTGATATAGAAACCAGACATCGGGTGCCCTCGAATTTTCAAGGGGGAGAAAAGACCAATGTGCCACTGTTGCTCCTTGGGGATGAGGCCTCTGACTGTTGCATGGATCAGAGCAGGCAGAGCAGGCTTCAGTTAGACCCGGGTTCTGGTTTTTCTTTTCTTTTCTTTTCTTTTCTTTTCTTTTCTTTTCTTTTCTTTTCTTTTCTTTTCTTTTCTTTTCATTTTTCTTTCTTTCTTTCTTTCTTTCTTTCTTTCTTTCTTTCTTTCTTTCTTTCTTTCTTCTCTTCCTTCCTTCCTTCCTTCCTTCCTTCCTTCCTTCCTTCCTTCCTTCCTTCTTTCCTTCTTTTTTTTTTTTTTTTATTACCCATTGAGCATCCAGTGGGTGCGTGGCGCCGTACTTGATGCGAAAGATCTGAGTAGATTGTTGGTTTTTCCATAACTACAGGGGAAAAAACCCACAACTCATTAGGCTCTCCCTGTGTGTCAATGAAACCTAAAGTGCTTCTTATAACGTTTGCTCCATTCATAGCTTGTCTACCTAATGTCTAGCAGTATTGGAGAGACCACAGCTGAGTGATGGAGACACATCAACTCATGGCCTCAGTCAGTTCATTCTTTAATTTCCTCACCAAATTATTGACTCAGAGCATAACCAAAGACCTCATCCATTCACCCCTGGCAGGTTCAGGGAATTGGAGTTTGATGGTAAAGCCTAGGCAGGGTGCAGGGAGTAGGGCAGGGGAAAGGGAGAAGTGAGAAAGGGAAAGGCATGAAGTTCTATACCTCAGCCAGCAGCTGCCTTCATTTGCAACTAAAGTCCAGCCAGCAGACCCTCTAGGTCCATCTCCCCTGTGCTGCCCTGGGTCATGTGGCCTTGGCAGCCCTGGATTACACCCAACCCCCCAGAATGTTAGTCTCAGGCTGCTGATGGGTTGAATTGACATGAATCAAATACAGCCAAACTTGATAGCCACAGATCGTTAGCTGGGCCTGACTGAGTACTGCCCCAACTCCTGTGACAGCAAGATCATGGACGTAGGTTAGAGTAAATCTTTATACTGGTGGGTCAGTGTGTGAAAAAGAGGTGTCCCCTTTATAAAAAGATTTTCAAGTGGATATATATATTAAAAAAGTTGCTTGTGAAATATACTTTTGTAAATAATATTTAATTTTTTAAATAATATATTTGGTGCTGTTTTCTCAGATCCCGAGAGCACTTTTTATTTTCATTTTTAAATTCTATGGTTTCCTCTGCATTTCTTGAAGTATATTTTAAGGGAAATAGTGATCATCAGGATACTCTTTTTTAAAAAAAGATCTGTATCACTTTAGTCTGTACAGAGGCAGTAAGGCAATGCCTCTCTGCATTTCTTTCCCAATGGAACAAGACTCTGCGCTACACTACCAGGTTGAGAATATTTTCTTGCACCGGTATTGGCTAGAAAAGAAAATAAATAAAAAATCAAATTTAGTAACAACTTAGCGGTTCCTTTTGTTAGAATTTCCAGCAAATTGGGATATTGTTTTTAATTTGTGTGTGTGCGTGTGCACATGTGGGCCCTTGCGCGTGTGTGTAAAAAGCATTAAGTGAAGAGATTGTGCCTCCTGGTTTCTTTTTTATTGGGGACACTATACCTACAGTTTACACCTTGGGCACATAAGGCTTTTCTTCTCTTTCTCTCTGGTTGTTTTGTTTCCGAGTGGACCAGCAGCACAAACCATGAGGATTTTGTTTTTCTGAGCTTGGAGCTATTGCCAGTTTGCTCCTCTTTCACTGTGTGCTCAACTTTCACAGATTGTAAAGGAAGTCTGTTGTTTGTGAAGATCAAGCAGAGTCAAATCTGTGTTTCTGAGATGTGAGTGTACTCCTTATGTACCCTAGGGTTCCCGTTGTTATAAAAGCCACATCAGTAACTGGTTTGGGTTAAAACAACATCAGTAAAATCATACACAATACCCTGTAGGTAAACAGCTTATTTTATTTTAAGGTCAGATTGCCTCAGGTTCAGGAAGAGGCTAGGAAATCAAATCTTAAACCCAGTCAACTACATATTTTAAGAAAGAGGTAGACTTAAAAGTGAAAACGTGCTAGCGGTCAAGGTGGAGGAAAGAGATGTTTAATCTTTTTTAAGCAAAATACAGTCATGAAATCTGCCAGAAGTGAAAGGTAAAGCCAAGAAGAAACAAGTTATAATCATCACCAAATTTATTCTGCCTATATGCTTTTATATAACATTTTGGTGAGAGTGAGAGTCCGTTCCCTTTTCCAACCTGCAGAGACGATCTTTCAGTAGGGAATCTATTTATGCTTGTGTTTACAAATCGTATTTGTTGGGTTTGGGTTTTGTTATTTTCTTTATCTTTTTTGGTGGCATTTTTCAGGTCACTTGCTTCAATAACAAAGATAATTATTTTCAAATAATTTGTCTTCACCTTTTCCTGTATTTGTACATAGTGATTCAGTATTAGAGAAAAGTGCATTGTTTCTGTCATATTTCCAATCTGTGTTGGTGCTCATTTGAGAAAATAAAGTTTTCAAATATTTGGAAGGCTCATCTGTCTTAATTGATGCAGTGTGTTTTATCTTGACTTTTAACACTTAAAAGTAACTGAAAAGCCTACAGGAGATCATCTGTCTAACCCCATTCACAGAGCTGTCAACTGAGACCCTGTGAGATTGTTTTCTCCAAGGACAGTTGACCAGTTAATGAATAAAAATCAAGTCTCCTGTTCATCTACAAATGTTTCTCTTATCTTTGGATATCAGAAATGCATGAGTGACCTTTAAGATTTCTTTCTACTAAGCCCCATATTCTTAGACTCTCCAAACTTCTCTGTTTATACGAATTTCTTGGGGGAAATTGGATTGCATTAAGTGAAGAGATGAAAGAATTGTAAAACAACAAAATTATGTCACAGAGAGGCAGCATTATCTGAATAACCGGCTAACAAAGGGAAATGAGTATTCACAGTTACAGTATATGGAGAATCAAGTCTTCTCACTCACAGAACGACTGTGAAACATAATATTAGATTCTAGGTGCTGGGTGAGGGTTTGACCATTCTAAAAAATCAGCTGTTCTTGTTTTCCTCCAGTAGCGTCCATATACGTAGCTTTGCATAACCAATCAGTGTAAGTAGTTTTGTATTCTGGTGCCTTCATTTAACACACTAAATATTTTTGCCTACACTTGATTTTATACCATAACTTTTCCAAAAGCTTGCCTCCATGACTTAGAGAGTTCTCACCTTGTATAGGCAATTTAAATAGCGAAGAAAGAGGATATTAAATCCACACAAGTGTGTGTATGTATTCGTGTATTTTCACGTTGGTGAAAGTATTTTAAAAGCCTATTTTGTATAAAATAAGAAATACCTTATCTACTTCCCATGAATTTTCACTTACCCATTCTGGGTTGAGCTGCAGTTGACTTTTATTTGTCCTTGAGTGTATTATCTTATTCCTGTGACCTGTTTTGCTTCAGTGGAGTGTCTGTTATCATTTCATTCTTGTTTGCCTTTGGCAGACCAGGAGGAGAGAAAAGATAACGTGTGCTGGATATAACCAGTTCCAAACCAGCAATCCTCAGTCCTCACACTCCCAAGCTCTTACACCTTTGGCTGTCCAGGAGATCAGGCTGGGGAAGTGAGGGGAGCGCACTGATGCTCATGGAGTGCTTGGCTTGCACCAGATCTTGAATTGGGTGCTTGGCCTACATGACCTCATTTAAGATCCTTGCAATGAGGCATTTCCTCACATCATCCCAGGAGTCTTCACTACCCTATGGGAAAGTGACGACAAATGCTGATTATTCCCATTTTATAGATGATGAAATTGAGGTTATCATGGTTTCATGAGAATCACAGGGTCAGGAATCATAGCCTGGCTTCCCAGCCCTATGTTTTTTGCCTACACTGTGTTCCAAATTTTAGCCCGTCTCTTCCTTCAGCCTTCTTAATTCTTGTATAGCTTCATAGGATGCTTTCTCAGTCTGCCCATCATGACTGCTTAATAAGTAAGGGTTCAAGGAATGTGAATTAGGAAATTAATTTAAGCAAAGCCACAAAGGTCACTGCTACCTGGAAGGTAT